GAGAGAGAGGGAATGTGTATGTGTGTGTGTATGCGTGAGAGAGAGAGAGCGTGAGAGAGAGAGAGAGCTAGCTAGAGGTGTGTGAAAGAGAGAGCGTGAGAGAGAGAGAGAGCGAAAGAGGACGAATGAAAAGATAAACGGAAGCAGTGCATATATTGTATATTTTCGGCGATCAGCAGAGCGTCCCGTTGCGCAATCATGCGTGTACGCGAGTCGCGCGATCACTGTGTGAGTGGTTGTCCGGATGCGTAGCCTGGAGGCTAGGCGACCGGTTCCGGACGCGTAGCCACTGCGTTAATATTAATAATAGTAATACTACTACTAGTAGTAGTAATAGGATGAATGTCAGGTGAGGTACTTCTTCCCTGGCATCTGGCGTAAAATATAATTTATAATCAAACTGAAACTTTTAACTGAAACTGAAACTTTTAAATTGCAGGGAGCTTTTACTCTCCATTACTACTGTGCATGGCATTACTCTAGAAGAATATCTTTACTTTACTTTAAGAATGTGTGTTCCTGGACGTAGTGCTGCTATAGTGGTGACTAGGTCCTAGTGTACGTGGTACTCCTGCAACTGCAAGAAAAGGAACAACGGGCCGCCGAAGGCCAAGCCTAGTTTAACACCACAGATTAGTCAAAGCATCACCATCAGTTATAGTGGTACTGGTATTGATTTATTAGCAGTATTTCCTCTCTTGCAGGTATATTTCGATATCAAAATAGGAGAGAATGAGGCTGGCCGGATTGTAATTGGTCTATTTGGTAAGACCGTTCCGAAGACGGTCAAGAATTTCATGGAGCTTGCTAAGAGACATGAAACAAAAGTAAGTGTAGTTATTAGTAGTATAATGAGAAATATGATCCAGAGAAATGCATTTCTATACAAGGTCTGACTGTAGGCCTATAGGTGCGGGCGGAGCTACGTCACAGATCAGTAGTCACGTGACCACCAGCAGAACGCCGGTGAAAACAACACGATCGCGTCACTGGCGCACATAGGATTACTGCATAGCGATACGAATTATCCGTCACTTGGTTTGGAAGTTTTAATAAGTTTTTTTCATGAAATTTCTTCAAATAGTAATATGCCTTACGAGTATATAGATAGCCTTTCTGTAGCTATAATTATGACATTATGTAAGATACATATGCACTGCAAATATAAAATATTTTAAGCTATTCTTATTTGTTTGCTTTGCATTAGTTGAATAAAACGCACACGCACACGCACACGCACAAGTACACACAGTGACACACGCACACGCACTCGCACACACAGTGACACTCACACGCACACACAAACACGCACGCACGCACAGGCACGCACGCACAGGCACACGCACACGCAGTGACACACTCGGACGCACACGCACACTCAAACATGCACGCACACGCACACGCACTCACATGCACACGCACACGCACACGTACACACAGTGACACACTCACACAAACACGCACGTACGCACACGCACTCGCACACACATGACACGCACGCACGCACGCATGCACGCACGCACACGCAGTTATAAAATAGTAGTTACCTGTCACGAAATGATCAGAACAAATAGTGGAGAATTTTGACGGACTCCAGTGCGTACCATTTACATTTACTCATTTACTCATTTACATTTAAGTGGCAGTCAGCCACGTATGACTTATCACGCCTCTCTGGACTCTTATGTCATTTTGGCAGCTCAAAAAATATCTTTTCTTATCTGTGCAATATATATGTAGCCTGTCAGATCAAAACATGCCGTAGGACTTCAATGTTCATTCTGAGTTATAGGTGATTTTTCACCTAAAAGTAGTAAAAAGCCGATTTTGTTTTGTTTTAAATACTTTTAGTAGTTATTCATGTTTGATGTTACATCAATAAAACTGGCAAAAATTCATGTGTCTAGCTCAATGGGAAGATATTTTTTCAGATTTTTGTCCAAATGAAGGCCAAATAAAAACAAACTTTAACTTTATGACCTAATTACTCTGAACTTTGTTTCTACTACTACTACTAACTACTCAAATGCTCATAACTTCCGAACCATGTTCTTGGTGTAACAAAATAACCAGAATTGAAAGGTCTTTCTGATAAAACTACTAACTCATAATGTCCGAATTGAGTCCTACGTCATGTTTTGATCTGACAGGCTACATATGATTGTGACAACCTACTACTACACAAGTTTTCGGCATATATACAAGGAAATTAATATGCTTTAGGTTTGCAAATCGGGTATTGCGTGTGTAAGCTCACGGAGACAGGCTGTTGTTTTCACCGGCACAGCTGGTTGCTAGGTTAAGAAAGTCCTGGATGTGGCAAAGTTTCCGGCTGTCCGCCCGCACCTATATTGTGATATGCTTGCATCTAGCAAATGTGTGCTATTTCCATGCCACAATGGTTACAAAAACCTACAGGCTTCTAAAGCGATTGCATGCCTAAGCTACATGATTTATCAAAATTGACATTTATGACACTAGTCGATATTAGATTACTATATGCTGTCTTTAATTAAGCAGCAAAGAATCGTGTTTCACAGATTGAAAGTGTAAGACTGATTAAGTAACCAAAACATTTTTCAGGAGGGTTCGGATGGTAAGCTTGTTGGATATAAGGGCAGCCAATTTCATCGTGTTATCAAAGACTTCATGCTACAGGGAGGAGACTTTACCAAAGGAGACGGAACTGGAGGTAGGTTTCATAAGACCAACGTATTAGCCAGCGAGCCGTGCAGCCGTGATTTGCACGGTCAGTTTTGAAACTGCACGGCCCAAAAAATAAAAAAATAAAAAAATGAAAAAAATAAAAAAAATTCCGTGGGAGGCCCCCTGTACCCCCCAATGAGACGGGGAGGATCCCCTCTCATACTCCCCCCCCCCGTGAATGCCTACGGCGGTCTTGGCTGAGACACAAAAATTGCATTCCCAAATATCTTTTCTGCACTCCCACAATACTCATCCCTGCATAAGACATAGTAACAGTATTTGTTGCAACACTAATTACCGTTCGATGCAGCTTGAAACACTTATGGCAATGCTCCAGTAATGCATTATCTTGATTTAATATCCGTAAATCGTTTTATTAATGGCATTCTAAAATATTTGCTGACCCATAAAGGATCATTGATTGTGTTATTTAATTAACATCACTAACTGTCTAAAACTTAATGTGCCCTAATATAGTATACTATACTATACTATACATTTGTGGAAATATATTTATAAAATTGTTCGACAGGTGAGAGCATTTACGGAGCTCGATTCGATGATGAGAATTTCAAGCTGAAGCATTACGGCTCGGGCTGGCTATCAATGGCCAATGCTGGCAAAAACACTAACGGTTCCCAGTTCTTTATCACAACGAAGAAGACTCCGTGGCTGGATGGCAAACATGTTGTGTTTGGCAAAATTCTCGAGGGCATGGTAAGTGTTGAATTTGAGTGCAATGCTGTTGGTGGTATTTGGAATGAATTGTTATTAGGCTTGCAGCTGATGTGTGAGAAACATTGTAGATTATCCACACCAACAACATTGTTCGAATGCTTGTGGTTAGAGTAGAAGTTTATACTAAATTGGGTCTTGTTAGCTTATCTGAAATAATCATAATATGATAATAATGTAAATATAAGTTTATAGTTCTTTTATTGCTATGAAAAAGAGCTTATATGAAATTGTACTTTCTACTAGCAGGCATTGAAATACTATGATTTCATGACCCTCGGGAGGAGGGCAAAAACCATGCCAGTTCATGCATTAGTTTAAATCATTACAATGAGCTATTTGCTAAATTCATATTGACTGGTTTCCATTTTATTTCAGAGTATTGTACGGAAAATTGAAAACTCAGAAAAAGGAGCAAGTGACCGTCCAAAACAGCCAGTCGTCATTGCAGACAGTGGTGTCCTGGAAGTCACTGAGCCATTTAGTGTAGAAAAAGCAGATGCAGAAGAGTAAATACATGAGCACTATTTTTTCTACTAAGTACAAATTATTCTTGGTCTTTTTTAAATTAAATATGGTATACCCACTGGTCAGCACTGTGTCGGTGTCCATAGCTAAAGCACAGGGTTAAAACGGTCGCTTATTGATGGTAAATGCAGGGAGTTCTAATCTATCATGCATTGCAGATCTAATGTGCTTATTACAGAATATGTGATGTAATTGTGAAGACATTAAGATTTGAAGATTGAGGTTAACCAAATAAATTTTTATGGCTTTCATTTAAAAAACAATGTAACTGCATTAGGTGGATATTAGGATAAAACTTGCTATACTGCTACTACAAGCAAGATAAACCGGTAAAATTATAAATCTGTGAGTAAATTTCTTGCTAAAAAACTGTTTATTGATTGCTGTGATAATATTTTCACATTTATAGCTATATTGCTGCATTTGAGTACGGTAGGTTGTTTTTAAATAGTGTTGATTAAGAATTTGTTTGTATAATAAAATATATAACAGGTATAAACCGTTGTGATAAAGGTGACGAATCAGTACTTTGTCACAGTTTTTAATATCTGGCTAACGAACATGGAAAAGTCAGGGCGGGGGCCTGGGTCATCTACCAACCTGGATAGGCAGCTTGCTACCAATCAGCATATTCCACGTCTCGCCATCTAGTGGCGAGTAATGACAGCTATATGAAGAGTATATTGTAGGGCAAGATTATTCTATATACCTCACTCGCTTTTATACCTTTATGCTGGCGTGTCTTCGTATTAGGTTATACCCTTGGTAAGATTTGATCTCCTGCCACCTGCTGGAAATAGCCCAACATTTCTAAGTTGTTTAATCCTCTTCAAAATTGCATATAAATGTTTTGCTTAACTCAAAGAGAAAACTGCAATAGAATTCAGTCCCTTTTATTGATGAGAACTATGTTCACACATTTTTTCACACCCTTTAACCATTTTTATAGCAAATAAATATTTGCTTCTGATGTACTATCGTCGATTTTTTTTACACTGTTTTGATACAGGTCCCAGTGGGCAATTGACAGTCGACAACACGTCATCAAAGTGATCAGAAGGGACTTGTAATTGCATTCCTATTTTTAGCTCATCTGACGAAGTCAGATGCAGCTTGTAGAATCGCATGAGCGTGCGTCCGTTCGGTCGTCCATCAACAGTTGGGCACAAATCTTAACCGCTCGACGTACGGTCATGATATTCGGGACGTCGGGGGGGGGGGATCGTGAAAAGGACTCGGGATGACAAATTTGGGGGTCAAGGGTCAAAAGTCAATGATGTGTAAACGGAGGGGGAATATTTCCCCCTTAACTTAAGGTATAGGAGGAAATACGGAATTGCGGCACAAATCTGAACGGCTCGACCTGTGCTCTTAATATTCGGTGTATACTGTGGTGGGCAGGAAACCCATCACCAGTGCGAAATTGGTGGTCACAGGTCAAAGGGCAGTGGGGGAAAGGTCAGATATCAGACATTTTCTGAGGACATGGCCTAATGGACAGTGAAAAACTTTTTTTGTTTTAGTGCTGACCTACCATTTTTATCAGTTTATTGAAAGGACCATGAAATGTGCTTTCCACTGACGTGCAAAGAGTAAGTGTCTGATAATTTTTTGACCCTCAAGAGGAGGGTTAAACATGGATTCCTCAACTGCCTCAATGACGTCACAGTGTTTTCATATTCATGGCACATCCATAATCTAGAAACCCAATAAGCCTGGATAGCCGAACGCGTACAGCACGGGCATCACGGCTGAAAGGTTGTTGGATCGAATCCCATTAAATAAATCATTATTCATTTGACTATTTTTCTCCAATTAATGCAAATATTTACATGATTTATTTACAACAATTTAATAACAACAATTAATAATATTATTTTTTTAATAGGGTTAGGGTTAGGGTCACAATGCACCATAAAACAGGAGTTTCAGGCACGAGATTTGTATCAACCAATGGGATTTGGGAGGTATGCATAATGCAGAAGGTTGCTGAAATGATGTGTACGCAACTGCGTATCTGCATATCTGCGCCTAACAAAGGTGTCACTACGCACGACTTAAATGTTACGTTTATAACCGTAGCAACAGACCTCAGATGAGCCCTGACGCTCTGCGGCTCTTGTTTAAATCTACATCGACTAATATCGGTTGGCTAGGTGTGGAACCATGCTGTGGCATAGCAGCGAATCTAATGCAAGAATTCCTGGTGGTGTCTGGCGTCCGAGGGTCAAACACAAATTGTAACACAATTTAGGGATTCCCGACACTCTGGGTCAATTTTCCAACTCTGCCCCTACCTGACCCCTATGCTAGAATACTGAGTTACAGTATTTAGAAACCATTCGCTGCTAACCACCACCTGCAATATGCATTGTTTGCAAATTGTACGTTATTGTGTGGAGATTTTACAATAGCCTCACCAATATGCAAATTGGTCCAATTTCCCATTGTGAATGTTTGCTCATTACTAATTGCAACGTTGTCGACACCGCAATTTCCATAGCAAGTTGGGGGAAACACTCATGTAAGTTAGTCATTAAATATTTCTGTTCGTTCAATCACTAGTATAATGTTTTGATGAAAATGTGTTCACATGATTATGTCTGGTAGAAAATCTCCAGTATTGCAAACTTGTATTTGATGTCGATTGTTGCTGGTAGTGTGATAATGTTTGGAAGAAGAAATCTGAGTGATTAACAGCAATAGCTCAAAACCTGGTGATTAATAGCTAAAGAGTTAAACACAATAACGTGGCGACCAGTCTTGTGAGAAGACAAATAACATACAAATATGAAATAATGCTGAAAATGAATATTATAGCTGCGTTAATTACGTATTCTCCCATGGCACCTCAAAACCCACAATTACTTCACATATCTGCCCTATTACAGGGCAATGTTTTGGCAATAAAGTTGTTGGTATATGGTATTGTAATAAATTATTGTAACCTCGATTTTTGCTGAAAACATTTTTGCTATATCATGTAGTTTTGTAAATATTGGCTCGGAACAAATTCGAAATTACCATGCCGGATATAATTATGCAACTTATAACTTTTATGGCAATAAATTCTTGACTTCCTGAAATATCCTCGTTATTATTACGTACTGCAATGGAGAACTTTGTTTCCGTATAGAAATAATGGATAAATAATGAGATATTGAATGCGGCGTTGAGTAATAGGATTTAATACATATTACCAAGAGTGTATAATAGAGATCTCTATTATCCACTCCTGATATTACCTATTTAAACGCAAGTAACGGCTGTATAATCTTTATTCAAGCTATATGTTATATGTAAACGGACGGCTACGTAGTTGCAAGCTCCGGCGATAATATGTTACAATGTGGCTCATACAACGAATGGACATCGCTACCGATATATAATAAGTGTAAACTACTGGTAACACTTCTGCACGTTAGAACAGAACGAGTTGGGAGTTAACGGGGAGAGGCAAGCTAAGTTATCCATAGCCATAATTATATCATAATATGATAATATTATAACCCTCTATTCTAACCCTCTATTCTAATTTTGGTGCTGTACTCCTATTATTATTTTAATTATGTGTATATTGCATAGTCTAAATCAAAGACAAAACACAAACAGTGAAACACGTTTTAACGCAGATCCGTGACTGTCCTACGTGCCAATGCAAAGGGGTTACCTGCCCCCAGCAGACTCGACCCGTCACGCAGTCCGGTTTGAAGGTAGGTTAGTTTAGCAAAGTTTACTATGCGTATTTGCCATCAGAGCTATACGCGCGTAATGCGCTTGGCATCGCTCATGTGGTTTCGCCCGTATGTATATATGCATAGGTCTGTGGTACAACTATAGACGTGTTAACGGACATTTGTGCCGCACGAGACAACCAACCCGTACGTAATTTGATGAAACGGAATTCGTACCTGCCCAAAGACTGTTTTTGGTGAGTGCTAAATGAATATATACATAGGCAACACGGGAATGCAGGAATTAACGAGCGCATATATCCGTATGGCATTGGCGCGATATTTTTTTGGTCGTGGCGAACGTTTTCCAAGGCCAAAAATGGTCACGGTACGCTGATTTTTACATTATGACCGCCGCCGCTGCTGCTAAAAAAGTCGAGAAGAGAGAGATGTTCACACTTAGTTGCTATTCAGGTTTGGACGTGAAACACCGACACCTGGTGCAGACGGCTGAGGTTCATGCGGTACGTAAATATTATCTGATATTATTATAGGTGCGCGTCCGTGCATATGTGTGTGCGTGCGCGTGCGTGCGTGTGTACGTGGGTCTTGTAAACTCAAAAAGGCATCCGAGTAGATATATTGTTACTGACTATGGTATAATTTCTCGATATCGATAACACAGTTCGTATGCACGTATAAACGTATAGAAGAAGTACGCACCAGATATGAGACCTGGTGAATATTTCATCTGTATCACGCGGAGACCGAGGCGACCCAGGTGTCACGTGTGGGTTACCTGTTTCCGCAGGTCATGTAGTTAACGGATACATTCGTGATCGCCGAATTTGGTTTGTAGTTTAGCGTAGTAAATTTCCCGAAGAATTGAACATGTTTGTTTACAGGGTCACCATAAAAGCCTACCACGATGCATCCCGATCAGGCAATGGAGCATCTAGGCGCCTATGGCCGCTTTCAGATGTGTGTGTTAGCATTGGGGTGTCTGATAACGTTTGCATGCGCATGGCAGTTCCTTGGAATTACATTTTTGGCTCAGGATCCAGAGCACCACTGTAGGCTTCCTGCTGGAGTCACTGAGCTGAACGGAACGATTCCGTACGAAGACGGAAAGGTAACCAAATGCGTCATATATCAACGACGTTTATAAAAAGTTTTTGGCAAACGACATGTAACGTTACTATTACCGTTTAGTGAACGTTAATAAAACGATTTTGGCAAACGTTTTTCAATAACTTAAATATAACTTTATTAGAAACGTTTTACAAACGTTGAGAAAACGTTTTATTTATACCAAACCATAAAATAACTATTTAAAAACGTTACGAAAACGTTATGTGTTAGCTGGTATACCCATCACATTCGTACCCATATTTCGTTGCAGTGGGCGCAGTGCAGCATTTATGACCCGGCATCCACCAAGACGCCACCTGCTAACATATCCTGTCCCAATGGCTGGAAATACAGCGGAGAATTTCAGAAGACTGTCACTGCAGAGGTAGACATCGTCGTAGCGGGATAATTAGGCCTATGCGCCCAACTACGGAGCCCGATAAACAGCACTTTTAACCCGATCTTTGCCGAACAATCATGATTTATTTTAAAACGTGAGAAATATGCTTCACAGAAACGCCACACGCACGCGAGGAACGCACGTACAAACGTATTAGTTGCTGTTCTATGTAGACGCCCGATATACTTATATTCACCACCCTGACCGAATACTATAGTTTCTATATCAATACTATTAGTTAGGCCTATACATTTTTAATATTATATTTGCACCCGACGTATAGTGGGATCTTGTTTGCGGCAATGCTTTCATGAAAGACACCGCATCTGCCGTATTCATGGCCGGCGTCTTGGTAGGAGCGCTGACCTTACCAACCATCGCAGACATGATCGGACGTAAGCGCGTCATCTCAGTCGGCTTAGCGGCCATGTTCGTTTTCAGCGCTACGATCGTCTTCGTCAAGAGCTTCGTTGCATTCATCGTCATGCGGTTCTTTACAGCGCTTCTGCTATCGGTATTTATTCATTCCCAATTTTGTAGAAGTTTAGAGCAAACCATTCCGATATCGAGAATGTTTCCTCGCTGGATTAAACTGAAGTTGAAATTAAATCAAGATATTTAAAAATTTAGTATATATATATATGGGCCTACGTTATAGCCTGAATCGCCGTGTTTTGATTTGTTCCATATTTCCATGTCGTTCGAATTCAATATTTATGTTGTATTTTTTTCAGGGGAGCTATTTAAGTCTATATGTGTTGTGCCTTGAGTGGTTTCCACCTGCTCAGAGAGCATTTGCTGGCGTGGTATTCTGGGTTCCTTGGGTCGGCGGATACTGCGTGCTGCCAGTAATTGCATATTTTGTACACGATTGGCGCCACCTACAGCTGATATTTACCATCCCTATTGCAGTCGTCTTTTGTTATCCATGGTAAGCCCAGTAAGTCAGCGAATGCATGTTTGCGTAAATAATTAACTTACCTTTCCATGAAGATATTTTCTTCGCATCTTATGTATATGATCGTCGATTTTCATATAATTATAGAGACCTTGATTGATTCACCCAGGATATATTTCTTCTAGGAAAAATCGTATTTTACTAAAGTTACTTCTTCTCTCGTTGTATAAATATATATATATATATATTATACACACACACATATATATATATATGTGTGTGTGTGTGCGTGCACGTGCGTGCGTGCGTGCGTGCGTGCGTGCGCGCGTGTGTATATATATTGTTGGCTATTATAGAGTTAGTGCTGCTAAACACGGATATAATTAATATTATGGACAAGCGTTGCATGAAAATGAAAAAATATGTTTCTGGCTTATCTTTAGGCTTTTACCAGAATCAGTGCATTGGCTTGTCTCTCAGAATAAACGAGATACTGCAATGGAACTCGTTCAGAAAGCTGCAAAAACGAATGGCAGTACGCTACCAGATAAATTTAACTTAAATGCACCAGAGAAATCGAGCGAGGAGGGAAAGAAGACTCTTTGGCACGTTCTGCACACACCTCTGTTGAGAGTCTATGCTGTGATGATGTGCTTTTTGTGGTAATTATGTTAGATTTTTTTCAAAGCCGATTTACTCAGCCTCCTATCATGCATTAATTACTTGCACGAACGATTACTTCATGACCACGAACTAGCGCAATGACTCGGTTTACAGGATATCAAAAACGCATAGAAATGTTAAATCAAAAGATGACAAATAAATGTGTGATTGATTATTAAAAACTAATTCAATTACAGAAAAATAACGACATGCGGATGATGCATTGCATGCATAAAAAGTTGGTATAATTATATTTTTAGGTTTGTTAATTCACTTGTGTACTATGGCCTATCATTTGGCGTGGCATCATGGGGAGGAAACATATACGTGAACTTCTTCCTAGCTGGTCTTATTGAAGCTCCATCTTACGTCGTATTAATAATCTCAATGAAATGGTAAGTAATGTCTTAAAACGCCAATACTGTAATTTTGGCATAGCCATCTTATGATTATATATCGTATATGATTGTGGGGTGCTGTGCGGTGCAAATGCAAAATAATTCTAGCACCCTTCGCCAGCCATGAGTAGTGAGTGATGTGCGTAATTTATACCTTATTAAATAAATTTAACCAAGGCATAAGTTATATCGTAGATATATACAACTGTATTGTATATATACAACTGTGTTGTATATATCTATGGTTATATATATATGTATATATATATATATATCATAGTCACGGTGTTTGGATAGGTAGGTAATAATTTCCTCAGATGTCTTATATACATCTGTATGCGTAAGTGAGTGTTGAGTGTGTGTGTGTGTGTGCGTGCGTGCGTACGTGCGTGGGCGTACGTTAGTGGTTGTGTGCGTGTCTGTGCGTGCGTGAGTGATTTTGTGTATATGCGTGTGCGTGCGTGCGTGCGTGATTTTGTGTATGTGTGCGTGCGTGCGTGAGTGAGTGAGTGCGTGCGTTGGTGTGTACCGCAATTCGTAGTTGCCAACAGATTTCTATAAGTTAGCCTGTGTAATGTTTAATTGTACAGCAATCAAATTAATTTTTGTACTAAGAGCAGTGGATGAATATTTGCAATGCATCTGTCTCTAGGTTTCTGGTCTGTAGCTTCCTGTGATAATTCGTAGGTAAGTGGAGTTGTTCCATTTGACTGGAATCAGTGTAACATGTATAACATGGAAATTTATTGACCGCACAAACCCAAAGGCTAAGTTTGCATCATGGACCTATTATGTTTTGGGGGCTCTAATCCTGTGCATCATACGGCTCTAATAGGCATTTACACAGTAAATAAATCTCCAAAGAAGGCCGCAATCGATTGCACACAACGCAGTTGACAAAATAAACTAGTATAGTGCCAGGTTGTCTTTTTTATGTATAACTATGTCTGCAGGTGGGGAAGACAGAAGCCAACATGCGTTTTCCACTTGATAGCAGGCATTCCTCTCCTGATTTTGCCATTTCTTCCACAGAAAACCGGTAAGCGATTAAGCGCAGCTCATTTAACGATTTATTTATAAACGAACTCTATCTGTGATTAGCCACCGCTCGTAAATATTATACACGAGCTGCCTCGGCGCTTCACGCCTTGGCAGATGTGGGCGAGGCGCTACGCGCCTAGCAATCCGGTGAGAAAATGCCTCGCGTGAGAGCCGAGACAGGGACACTTTGAAACCATAAAAACTGCATAAAATGTACCAATTTGGCTGTATTTGTGTGCATATTTTGTGCATATCTGTCTTACCTCTGTATCAATAGTAAGAAAATTAGAACCGAGCGCTTTGCGGTAAGGTCGATGGAAATGCATCAAAATTTAGCTTTCTTCATAAAAGTATCCCAAACACAAGCATATTTCCTTAAAAGATGCAAAACAATTGCATTAACAATATTCAAGAATTGCGGCGCGGCGCAGTGCGTAGGACTGAATCGATTTGTTTTTGTAAGCGTGTTTTGTTGTAAGCGCGTTTGTAAGCGTGTTTTTGTAAGCGTTTTTGTTTTTGTAAGACGTGTGTACGCGGGCGTACGGGGTTACGGCGCATGCACCAGTCTCGACCAATCACGAGCAAGTGCCTCGAAGCAGTAGCAGCAGCAGCAGTAGGACGCGCGGCAAATATATAAATAGATTGTACTGCATACATATTGTACTAGTAACAAATAATAATAATAACAACTGCGCGCGCGTGCGTGTGTGCTCACGCGTGCATATGTGCGCTTGTGTGAGCATGTCAGTACATGTGTGTGTGTGTGTGTGTGTGTGTGTGTGTGTGTGTGTGTGTCGTTGTGTGTGTATGTGTGTCGTGTGTATGTTGTGTGTGTGTGTGTGTGTGGATGTGTGTGTGTGTGAGTGTGAGTGTCTGCGTGCATGTGTAGCAATGCAGGCGTGGGCGTGCGCCGCGTGGTGCTATGTCCGAGCGGATGTGGCGCAGACTATTCGTGTGTGCACCACTCACAGATATTATGCTAATAACAAATACAACCTAACAAAGTTTATCGGTCACCTAGCGTCATGTTCCAATGCTAAATAATTTGCTAGGCCCATGCTTCGATCTTCCTGGAGAGCGTCCCATAACGCCAGTATTATACATGGCAGTCTATTTTAGCCACGGTCCGACAGTTAACAATACATGTTTGCTAACTATGTGATCGTTAGGCTAGCTAAACTTTCATTTGTTCTCTTTCAATGAATCACAAAATCACACCAGTAATGTAAAGCAATATCTCTCGTGTCTGTCTCGGATGTAAATGCTAATCTGCGAGGCAGCTGGCGGAGGATTCAATACGCGTATTGTGTCATGGGCGCGCGCGACTCCGCTTCTGTTTCATTTACAGCCGGTGGGCTCGACCTCGTATTTTGCGCACGGTTCTAACATCATTGGGAAGTTCGGAATCAGTACATCGTTTGGCGCAATCTACCTCTTTGCTTCTGAACTGTATCCCACCGTAGTAAGGTAACGAAAATCTCAGCGATCGACATATGCTGCATGATATTATTATATATGAATATTATATATGCCGTATTCTGTTGCGTTTACCTATATTCCGTTGCGTTTATTATATATATATATATATATATATATATATACTAAAGTTCTTAACTTTAGCAAATAAATGAAGCAATTGCATCTAATACGACACCACCGCGGTATGGCGTAAAATAGTTATACGGTTCCCTCCAATGTCGTTAAAGATACTTTACTCCGTACAGGGCTGTGACGATCTAGCCGCGAGTAACCGTTTTAGAGCTGTTTCTCAATAAACAACGTATTTGATTAACACTACACTGATATGCGACAGATAAGGTTGAGCAGACATGTATATACACAGCAATTCGAGATAAAACGTGGCATATTTTTATTAGGAATGTGAAATGCAGACTCAGGAGCATAATCATCGCGATTGCACGCAAGACTCGGCGGATCCATAGATCGCACATATCTGGCCAACAGCATTCTGGCCATCTTGGAGCCCTAAAGTCAGGCGCACCCTGATATTCGACGCGTTGTCTATACTAGCGGCTGTCGTCTCCGTTTGATTATCCTAAGACATCACAATGCCAACCCATTATAGGAGTCTCTGAGGACTTCCGGATTTCTCAGGTAGCGATTTCCTTTTGTTTATTTCCGGCTGGCAGCAGTGACGAGACCAAACTGTTGTCCGCGACTATGGGCAAATCGACCTGTTGAAACGCAATGTACATCATCACGTGAAATTATCCGGTAAATGTCGTGTTTGCTGTCTATTCGAATCACGGTTAGTAGATCACACATCAGATTTCAATAATGAATTAGCAGATAATTTCAGCACATAAGCCATATTGCTTTCGTTGTGGTTTATACCCGTCTTTGACTTGCTGTAGTAAAAAGCATACGGATGGCACGTCTGCTAATTGCACCAAGAACCTCAGAGACGACATCACTGGGGAGACAAAACCGGACAATAATAAAGTCCGGCCAAATTGATGTGGAACCTGTTATTTACTTACACAATATATGCAAGAAAAAGAAGACTTCCAAAGCCGAGTAATTGTTACAGTATCATGTTCGTTCTGTAATTGTTAGGAGACTACCATGGCGTATATATATATCATTAATACACTATATACTATAATATATACTATATATAATAGATATTATATGATATGGCAGCTGTCTCCTCTAATCTAGAGTGAAAAGTTATTATATTATGTTAGCGTGAATGTAGTAAAATACGTACAAGGAGCCACGCGGAAGCGCCTGGTTGTGTTTGTTTATTCACGTTTTAAAGACCTAAAAAGTCAGTTATATCAAATAATTATTTGGTCATATCCAGGCGCACCGATATTCAGCTGCAACGGCCTAGCGTATATACTTATAAACAAAAATATATACGAATAAATTCAATGCAATAAAATAGAATATATTATATTATATATAATATATAATTTATATATATATATTATATATATATAATGTACTGGATTGCTTAGCTCTATAACTCGTCGGAGAGTGCCTGGTGCATTTAAAGTTGCAGGCGTAATAAATTGTAGTATAAGATAAATAAAGACAAGACATCACTTTTAGCTGTTACTGCCCTGCCTCTCCGAGTTTCACGCTTAACGCGATTCATCAGGACAGATCTTAAATCGAAGAATATATCGATAAAATTATATATCGATAATAATAAATTATTAATAATAATATATATAATATATTATATAGTATATATCCATCGCGGCTCACATGCGCGTTCAGCCGAAATGCAAGTGGACATATCTGCGAGTTTAGTGTCGCGCAGGTTTGAATACCGCGGCGTGTGTGTTATGGATCCATTTATGATTGTATGTATGTGTGTATGTGTGTGTTGCGTTTGCGTGCGGTGTGTGCGTGCGTGCGTGCGTGCGTGGCGATGTGTTGTGTTGTCTGTGTGTGTATGTGAAAATGGGGAGGGGAGCATGCGTAGGCTGCCGCATTGTTGAATAATATCAAGGAGTGTATAATAGGATTATTATACAACCCTGATAATGATATCCTATTAATACACCTGATAATAGATGCAGCCAAAAATATTTTATCATCATATTATCAGGAGGAGATATAATAGAAGATCTCCTAGATATCGCTAATATTAATCTTAACTCTCTGATATGATGTTGACCGGTGACGGTATGCCTTCTAATTAAGAACGCCGGTGAAAGCAAGTGATAGTAGCGAAGGGAAAGGCGTAGTGAGCGAGAGACGAGAACGAATGAGAGAGCGGGTATAGAGAAAGCTCGTGAGCTCGTGTGATAAAGCACGTGTGGATCGTATAGTGGTGTGACCAGAGTTCGGTGTACAGCAGAATACGCTGTGCAATAGACTTATAGCCACCAAACAGTATAATGTAATGTCTATAACCGACAGAATTACTCACGGTTAACTCTACTTCTTTAATAAACACATCAACATGACATGAACACCATTACAGTACATATCTTATACACCATAGGCACCATACAGTACAAGCATGGTACGCGCCATAGCCATCATCAAGTGACGGCGTTATAAGTTGTTTCATATCATAGCACCTAGCAGCGGCTCCTCCTATGTCGGTTGACGGCGGCAACGTAGGTCAAGATCGGCGCAGTGAGTTTCTGTGTCAAGCTGGCAGCGGCAACGGTACGTGGTGCCCGAGCAGCAGGTGAGAGCGAGTGGCGTGCGGACAGCGTCGTGAACTTCGAGCACCGTAAGAACTGTGGGTCTGCTTCTTGTCGAAACCTGTTCGTTATTATACAAGGAAGAATGCAATGGCCCTGAGCGGTGTCAAGTGCCTTGTTGCGTGGGCGATGGTGCAATTCTGTCCTTCTCGACGATTTTTATAGATAACTGAAGGTAAGGGATTTCTTCTCTAGCGTGAGAACGAGGCGTGTCGAGTCTTTGTAGATATGGTAGAAGTCGTCGGATGGCAGTCTCTCGAAGCCGCCGTCGAGCAGCCTTCTATTGACACTAACGTGTCGTGGTAATGCTTTGTGCCATACCGCTGCGCAGGTGCACGTGCACGCGAGCGTGGTGTTCGGCTCCTCCATGCTGAAAAGATATCGGCCACAGAATTTTAGCCGCTGCGTTGGGTCGTCCGGCGTGTGAACGACCGTGGCGTACGAGAACCTGCTTGTGGGTTGCCCATATTTCGTTCCCTCCTGCTGTCATCAGCACTAGCGTGTAGCGGCACGCGCTGCTATTGGCAGCCTGCGGCAAATTGTTTGTCGTAACGGTACCATCACCGATTGACCGCGGTGGAAGCGTGTTAGTTCCGACTCCGTTGTAATCAGTGGTAATTTAATATGGCTTGTTGAGAGACGTGTCGGCAACGCTTCATAAACGCAGTGGCGTGCGCACTCTCAGCCTCGTAGAAACGTGATAACTCTGACCAAATGTTATTGTGTGACATTCCGACGTCTTGTCTTCTGCGGCGTGGTGCGGGTCCTAATGAGTGCCCGCTAAACACTTGTATCAGTCTAATTACGCATGCTGGGTTGTACGTAGTTTCTGTCTCTCGAGGTCGTTGGTGAAGCACACATTCGCTCGCGACGACTTTCGCTGATGTTATATTGGGGCGGATATTGACTAAATTAACTACGACGCTAATGCACGACTAGAGCGGCCGTGACGCTCGCTGTATCTTGTATCTGGTATCTTGTAATCATGGTTCCTTTCCTTGTATTTCACAAGGCACTCGAATCAAACGAAGTGCGGGTTCATCTAGAAAAACAAAGGGGTAAACGCCGCCTCATCCATGTCTACATGTAGTGTCCCACGGATCGACAGATTCGTCGTACATAATCTAAATTCAGAGTTTTAAATAGCGTCCATGTGCCTTCCAGTATCTATTTCTTGTGCCCCCCTTAAATTTTTCATATAACTATCACACTTATATAAATTGTTCCATATCTCTCCTTTCATATCGTTAATTACATCTATTACACCTTATCCTCGCTAAAATTATTTTTAAAGAGTATGTCCTTATTAGGTCAATCATGCAAGTTTTGCATTTAAGATGCCAAAACACGAATCGTTAAATGATAGTTACTTTACATATATTCCTATCTCAGTCCGTTATGTTCAGATGTTTATCAATATGTTCATGTTTGTTTGAGCCTCAGTTTCATTTGTCTCTTTTAATTACATACGCGTTTTAGTATGCATCTTTGAGCGTACTTTTCATCCAGGTATTCTTTATTGGGCTAATCCTATGGCTGAAATGAATATTTCTAATAGTCGTATTCTCTAAGTATTATTTTGATTTCATTTCCCCATTCTTGCTTTCCTTTTTGATCGGTTTTGCAAAAATATAAAAACTTTCTTACATTAATACTATTGTTTCAGCAAATATTAAATTATATATTGAAGTAGAGCATAAGTTTTTTGATGCTATGTTACCCTCAGTTATTGGTAAAATTCGCGCCGAACTACTATCACTTAATGCTTCCAGTGGTGTTGCTATGGGGCTTTATAATCAGTACAGTAGACAATCATTGAAAGTCCCTTCTAACATATTTTAAATTCCTTCCGTAGTTATGTTGGTTCCACGTTTCACTGTTGTCAGGGAGAAGAAGGTATTAGACGTACATTCAAATTAATATCACTCCTTGCTTCTATTGTACGGTTACCACTAATTTTGCTCTCTATCCGCGCTGAAACTAATTTCTCCTTATCATGAATCTACATTTATCGTTCGTGCATTTATCAATTCCTTAAAGCCCCCCTTGTGTCATTAAATAGATCGCGCTAGATCATGTATAATTTAGTCATTTTGTGAATTACCTGATTTCCTAATGATGATATCTTTCTCTATCCTTTCTTTATTTGAGAAATTCTCATGACCATTGTATTATGTTTTGTTTTAAATTAAAATTCTAATCTTTTTGATATGTGCTAATCTACTGACATGCCCTGAGCAATTTTGTAAGTATGTTTGTGATCTCCCTATTCCTCAA